TAGCAACAGGGATAGAACTGGAGCTCATTACGCTAGGTGAAATAAGCCAAGAACAGAAAGACAAATATCACATGTTCTCACTCCTATGTGGGAGCTAAACTAAGTGGATCTCATGGAGGTAGAGAGGGTTATTACCAGAGGCTGGCGGAAGGGAAGGGAGTAGGGGATGAAGTGAAGTTGGCTAATGGGTACAAAAATACAGTTAAATAGAAAGAATAAGTTCTAGTATTTGATGGCACAGTAGGGAAATCATAGTTAACAATAATTTATTGTATCTTTCAAAATAGCTAGAATAGAATTGTAATGTTTCCAACACAAAAAAAGATAAGTGTTTGAGATGATGAATGTCCCCATTTCCCTGATTTGCTCATTACATATTAGATACATGTATCAAAATATCGCTTGTACCCCCAAAGTATGTAAGAATATGATATATCGATTGACAAACACAATAAATAAATAAATAGATAGATAGATAAATAAATAAATAAACGAAGTTTCCGAGCTAAACACAACTGAGTTTTGTCAGAAATTTAAAGACATTAAGGAGTTTTATTTTCAGGATGCATGCCAAGAGCTCTTCCTTCTCCATCATCCTTGTCCTCATCTTCCAGTCTACATCTAATTTACAAAATCCTCCAATTCCACTACTCAGCCATAAAAAACAATGAAATCCTCTCTTTTGCAGCAATGTGGATTGAACTGCAAGGGAAACAAGTTAAATACTTGATGTTCTCATTTATAAGTTGGAGGTAAACTACTTGTACACGTGGACATACAAAGTGGAATAGACATCGGAGACTCCAAAGAGTGGGAGGGTTGAAGGGGAATGAGGGGTGAGAAATGACATATAAGGTACAATTTACACTATTTGGGTGATGGTAACACTGAAAGTTCAGATTTTGCCACTACACAATATATCCATTTTGTAAAATGCACCTGTATCCCCTAAATCTATAAAAATTTTTGATAACATAAATCCTGCAGTTCCACCGTGTACTGGCTCTGAGCTGTTGTCCGTAAAGCTTCAGCATTCAAATAGTAACAGGTCCTTGGGGTTGTTAGCAGTTGTGGTGTGATATTTGAGTCACTATTCTAAAAATCTCTAACCACACTCTGAAGCACTTGGATAGTTCAGAACTCTCTGGAGGGTTTTGCAAGGGTTTTAATTTATATTACAGCTGATACTACATTTTGTTGCCTGCCAGGGAACCATTTTGTACTTGCAGGAAAATACCTACCCACAAGTGTTTCTGCTAGAATATTAGGCAAGCAACAGAACCCACCGAAACCGACTTACACGTTAAAGAGTCCTACTGTCGCATGTAAAATGAAGTCCATTGGTAGTTTTGTTGCTAATCTGGCAGCACAAAAATATCAAGAAAAGCCTGTGTTCTTTTCTTGTCATGTTCTGCTATCCACATTGTTGTTTCATCTTTGGGCTGGCTCTTCCTGTGTCTTTAGGATGTTTGCAGTAGAAATCTGTACTCAAAGTGTTCTCATTCACATTCAGTGGGAGGGAGAGAGAATGGTTCCCAGAAAGATCCTAGAGGAGAGAGGAGGATCTTTCCCATAAAGCCCTGACAAACAATTTCTCTTGACTCATTGCTCAAAATACTAAAACACCTCTTTTCTTGAATGGGCTGACTCTTAAGATTAAACTCATTGGCTTAGTCTTAGATCAGAAGATCCGTCCCTGCAGACAAATGAGGTCAGCTTCCTCTGAGCCCCATGGGCTGCATGAAGGAGGGGAAGAGACCTGAATGAAATCCAGGTATGTTAAAAAGGACATAATAGAGGGAGGGTAGGCAGCTAAAATCTCCTATGCTAATGAGCACACATAAATGTAGTAGTCTGGTCTGAGAAAACAAACATCAGTACATTGAATTGTTCCTGATTTTTCTTTTAAAAGTCCCTAAAATAACTTCTTAAGGGAATACTTTCTAACAGTACACATACAAAGAATCCAAGCCAGGCACAGTGTCTCACGCCTGTAATCCCAACACTGTGGGAGGCCTAGACGGGCGGATCACCTGAGGAAATCGAGACCAGCCTGGCCAACATGGCAAAACTCCGTCTCTACTAAAAGTACAAGAGCCGGCCCTGGTGGTGCATGCCTGTAATCCCAGCTACTAAGGAGGCTGAGGCAGAAGAATTGTTTGAACCCGGGAGGCAGAGGTTGTGGTGAGCCAAGATTGCACCACTGCACTCCAGTCTGGGCAACAAGAGAGAGACTCTGTCTCAAAAAAAAAAAAGAATCCAACATGCTTCAACAGAAATGTTACATACTTAGGTCTATATTAACCTAAAACTTTCGCTAAACATGATACAAATTTGACAACAGGTAGGCCAGGCTGTGGTGGCTCACGCCTGTAATCCCAGAACTCTGGGAAGCCCAGGCAGGAGGACTGCTTGAGCCCAGGAGTTTGAAGCTGCAGTGAGTCATGACCACACCTCTGAACTCCAGCCTGGGCAACACAGTAAGAGCCTGTCTCAAATATATATATGTATACACACACACACACACACATATATACACATATATACATATACACATATATACATATACATATACACACACACACACACACATATATGACAACAGGAACATACAGCAAAACTCTCTCAGTGTCTATTGTTTCTCTGGGTCTCAGTTTCCCCATCTATTAAATACAAGATGAAATCAATGGGTTCAAAGATCTTTCCCAACTTTACATTTTTGTCTGTGAATCCATATGCACCTACATCATCAAATGAATATGCATAACAATTTGCACACGTTTTTATTCATCATTATATATAATCTCCTATTATATAGACTTTACTAGGTAAGGAGCTGACAAAGACAAATATAAAGCTGCCTTCCAGAGCCTTCGTTGGGGAGAAAAGGCAGATATAAGAAAAAGTCAGAAAGTAGGGCAGCAGCTGTGATAATTGGCAAGCCACATGTAGAGGAATGAAACTGGATCCTCATCTCTCACCTCATACAAAAGTCAACTCAAGATGGATCAAAGACCTAAATCTAAGACCTAAGACTATGGAAATCCTAGAAGATAACATTGGAAAAAATCTTCTGGACATTGGTTTAGGCAAAGACTTCATGTCCAAGAACCCAAAAGCAAATGCAACAAAAACAAAGATAAATAGATGGAACTGAATTAAACTAAAAAGTTTCTGCACAGCAAAAGAAATAATCAGCAAACAGACAACCAACAGAGTGGGAGAAAATATTTGCAAACTATTTATCTGACAAAGGACTAATACCCAGAATCTACAAGGAGTTCAAACAAATAAGCAAGGAAAAAAACAAATAATCCCATCAAAAAAATGGGCTAAGGACATGAATAGACAATTATCCAAAGAATAAATACAAATGGATAACAAACTTATGAAAAAATGCTCAACATTACTAATTATCAGGGAAATGCAAATCAAAATCACAATACGAAACCACCTTACTCCTACAAAAATGGCCATAATCAAAAAATAATAGACGTTGGCATGGATGTGGTGAAAAGGGAACACTTTTACATGGCTGGTAGGGATGTAAACTTGTACAACCACTATGGAAAACAGTATGGAGATTCCTTAAAGAACTAAAAGTAGAACTACCATTTGATCCAGCAACTCCACTGCTGGGTATCTACCCAGAGGAAAAGAAGTCATTGTATGAAAAAGACACTTGCACACGCACATTATAGCAGCACAATTCACAATTGCAAAAATATGGAGGCAGCCCAAATGCCCATCAATCAAGGAGTGGATAAAGAAAATGTGGTATGTATATGCCATGGAATACTACTCAACCATAAAAAGGAATGAAACAATGGCATTCACAGCAACCTGGATGGAGCTGGAGACCATTATGCTAAGTAACTCAGAAGTGGAAAGCCAAACATTGTATGTTCTCACTTACAAGTGGGAGCTACGCTGTAAGGATGCAAAGGCAAAGAATGATATAATGGACTCTCCGCTGGTGTGGAGGCTCATGCCTGTAATCCCAGCACTTTGGGAGGCCTAGGTGGGAGAATCACTTGAGGCCAGGAGTTTGAGACCAGCCTGGACAACACTGTGAAACCCTGTGTACTAAAACTACAAAAAGTAGCCAGGCATAATGATGCACACCTGTAATCCCAGCTACTTGGGAGGCTGAGGCATGAAAATCTCGAACCCAGGAGGTGAAGGTAGCAGATTGCGCCACTGCACTCCAGCCGGAGTGTGACAGAGTGAGACTCTGTCTCAAAACAAAAAATGAACAAAAAGAATGATATAATGTTCCCAAAAAAAACTATTGAAATAATTTAGAAATAAAAATAAAAGACTTCCCACAGCTTTAAAAAAAGGAACGGCCGGGCTCGGTGGCTCACGCCTGTAATCCCAGTGCTGCGGGAGGCCGAGGAGGGTGGATCACCTGAGATCAGGAGTTCAAGACCAGCTTGGTCAACATGGCAAAACCTCGTCTCTACTAAAAATACAAAAATTAGCTGGGTGTGGTGTCGCACGCCTGTACTCCCAGCTACTAGGGAGGCTGAGGCGGGAAAATCGCTTGAACCCGGGAGATGGAGGTAGCAGTAAGCCACTGGTGACAGAGTGAGACTCCATCTCAAAAAAAAGAAAGAAGAAAGAAAGAGAGAAGGAAGGAAGGAAGGAAGGAAGGAAGGAAGGAAGGAAGGAAGGAAGGGAGGAAGGAAGGAAGGAAGGAAAGGAAGGAAGGAAAGGAGAAGAGAAAGAGAGAAGAAAGAGAGAAAGAAAGAAAGAAAAAAAAGAAAGAAAAGAAAGAAAGAAAGAAAGAAAGAAAGAAAGAAAGAAAGAAAGAAAGAAAGAAAGAAAGAAAGAAAGAAAGAAAGAAAGAGAGAGAGAGAAAGGAAGGGAAAGGAAAGGAAAGGAAAGGAAAGGAAAGGAAAGGAAGAAAGAAACAATACAGTTGCTAAGCAACTGTAGACTGGAACAGAGGCATATTCCTGCAGTAAGGGTGAGGTTCTTCTATAGCTAGAAGAACATGTATGGCTTAGAACAGGGATCCCCAACCTCTGCGCAGCAGGCCCAGGCCCTGTTAGGAACTGGCTTGTTAGGAACTGGGTCACACAGCAGGAGAGGAGCAGCAGGTGAGCCAGCCAGCGTTATCACTTGAGCTCCACCTCCTGTCAGATAAGCAGCCGCATTAGATCCTAGGCACGCGAACCCTACTGTGAACTGCACGTGTAAGGAATTTTCGTTGCCTGCTCCTTATGAGAATCTAACTAATGTCTGATAATCTCAGGGGGAACAGTTTCATTCCAAACCATCCCTTCCCCACAACCCACCCCCCATCCATGGAAAAAATGTCTTCCATGAAGCCAGTCCCTAGTGCCCAAAACTTTGGGGGCTGCTGGTTTAAAAGATGGAACAAAATGAATAAGGAGTGATTCAGGAATTGACTTAATTTGCTCATGGGACTGAGAAGACAAGACTGATAGTGATGGTGGACGATGTTGATGGTGATGCTTGATGGTGTGATAGCTGCAAGTTCCTGTTATTACCGAGCAAAAGGGTCTTGCTGCCTGATGCACTAGACATGAATACCATGACACTGGGTTTTTGAGAAAACAAAAGTTTTTATTGTAGGTCAACTAACAAGGAGACAGCAGCGCAGTTCAAATCCGTCTCCCCTTGCTGGCTCTAAGGCAGTCATTTTATTAGAAAAGGTTCAGGGGGTGTGTTCTGAGATTACTAGGTGATGGTGGAAGGAAGGGAGAGGTCTAGAAAGTCCTCGGGCATGAGCAGTTATCTCTTTATGCTACCTCGTGGATCACGTGCAAATTCAGCGGCAGTTAGTATAAAACATGGTGGAAATTCGGGCTGTGACATCAACAAGATCATTCTGTACAGACTCGGGTTGGCCATATTGCTTCCAACTGATTTCAGCCAGTTTTCTTAAATCTCACAAGTAAAGGGAGTTTCAGCAGCGTTCCCTGAACAGCATTTCAACAGGTGACTTACCAAGTGCAGCACTTTAGTGGCAATATTTCATATAATCTTCATAATAACTCTAGGAAAGAGGTGTTATAATCTACATGTTGCCCTCAACTCATATTGCCCAAGGTAAATAATAATAATTAGTAGTAGTAGTACTAATGGTACTACTAGTAGTAAATCTTGACTAAAACACAGGTCCCTGCAACTTCAAAGACTACAAATGCTTTTGTTCACCACACTACCCTGCATCTTTGAAATGCAGTGGCTTTTCAAAACATCCCAGTGAGCCTGAAAGTCAGGCTACACATCCATTTATCCATGAGGGCCAACTTAGCAAAACAAAATGTTTATGGCAAGGCTACATCTTTTTTCATGCCAATGACGATAGCTGTATCAATCCAATAGAGGGGGTGGGGAAGGAAGCACCTTCACAGAGTATGTTATCTACTTATCAGATAGAATTATGACAGTGAAAATGATAAGCCAGGCATGGTGGCTCATGCTTGTAATCCCAGCACTTTGGGAGGATGATGCGTGCTGCCCAGGACTCCGAGACCAGCCTGGACAACAAGGTGAGACCCCCATCTCTACAAAAAATTAGCTGGACAGCATAGTGTGACTGTGGTCCCAGCTACTCAGGAGGCTAAGGAGGGAGTATTGCTTGATCCCAGAGAGGTCAAGGCTGCAGGAAACCATGTTCCTGTGCCACTGTACTCCAGCCTAGGTGACAGAGTAAGTCCCTGTTTCAAAAAGAAAAAGAAAAAGATAGCACTGCTCGTTAGCCACTGAAATGTTAATATCTGGACATATTTGAGAAATAATAGCAGAGTCAGCTTTTAGAATTGTGTTGTGGAATTGGATTGAGGGACTCTGTTGGAAAGTGAGAAAGTCCCGGGGTTGCTTGCCATTCTGTGTGTGATCATACTGCTGAGAGAAAGAGATAGAGAGAGGCAGGGGAAACCTTGCTGACCTATACAGACACTGCGCCTCCACTTCTGTCACCTGTAAAGCAGCTCTTCCACGGGATATTCAGTTCAACCCAGCACATATTAGGAACTCTTATAACGGTTTCTGGGGCCCAGGCATACACCGGTCAGTATCACCCCAGAGTATGACTATTATATGAAGTACACAAACTCCATCCTCTAGTCTGCGTTGTTCAAACCAAAATGAAGGCCCTGCCACTCTGCCGTAATTCCTCAGCATACTCCCCAGGAAGTCATGTACCATGACTGCTGAACTTCCTTCACCAGGCACCATTCCCTCCCCTACAATTGTAAAAAAAAAAAAAAAAAAAAAAAAAAAGCCTTTTGATCTGTGACCTGCATTTAAAAACTGACATCTTGTGGTTAGGATGGTAATTAGACTTAATTTAAAAGTTATTTCTGCCTTGTTAACTGAGTTACTCTGTGATCAAATTATGGGATAATTTAGATGAATTCAGGCATATTGATTGTATAATCTATAATGTGTGTAATTAATAACTACCCCCTAAAAGCTCTGTGTGAGAAATTGTAAGGATTCACATTAGGCAAAAAGTCAAGGCCTGAATGGCATTTTCTCCTCAATGCCTTTTATTAACTACATATAAAAGGGAAAGCTTTCAAAGGAGATGAAATCAAGATTAAATGCCAGAATTGATCGACATTGTTGCACAGCTTACATCTCTAATGGCCGCAGACTGGTGTAACTTGGGAATTCTCTTGCCCTAGGTAATTGAGGTGTCATCTTCTTGGATTGCACATCTTTAAGGGAGGTGACTCTGGCTGCTGGCTTCTTTTTGATAGTTTTACCCACGATTCTTGAGACACTAATAAGGCGAACCCAGCCATGGGGGTTGCAATGATCCAGGCTGGTCTGTCTGAAATGAGCTGATGCCAGCAGTGTAGTTAGAATAAGTTGTTTCTACTTATGCCCAAATAACAACAAAGGATTTACTTTGGTTATGGTAAAAGTGACAAGGGTCAGATTTCTGTATTCTTGAATCTTATCCTATTGTTTACAACCACACCAGGTCACCTAAAATATGCACGCATATACACACAAACATTTTTTATTATTAACTAAAATATCTGCCCCAAACTCCTTTCTCTTCCTCTACCTTGTAAGCTGGGTGGAGCATCTGTGAGGCAAAAGGACATCTTGATCTGTTCTGTAGGCAAACTTAAGACATTCATTCAGTGGCTCCTTTGTCTTGGCCCACCTTGGTGCTACCAGGCCCTCAAAGAACCTGATGGCACCTGAACAGGAGGCATACCAAGAAGTGAAGAGAGCAGACCTCATTTAAAAAAGGGAGAGAAAGATGGCATTCATTCAAAGAGAAGGGTCTGCCTTCCCCATTGGTATACTGAAGGAAATGTGATCATGGTTCGTATTTACTCATGGGCTGGTTGGGCACCTTCATCGACTTATCAGCCTTTTCCTCCACCCATGAAAGCACCCCTTGGTGGGATGGTGACTTAACGATAGCAGTTTGTATTTGTTGAGCTCAACACTCTGCTAAGTGTTCTATATGCACTGTTTTATGGTCAGGTAGGTGCCAACACAACAACTTACGGATCGGATAAGGAGCAGATGAATGGAAAGGTTCAGTAATCTATCCCAAATCCACAGCTGGGAGGTAGTAGAGCCAGGATGTGAACTGCCAGTCCTGTCTGACCCCCAAGCATGCGTCTGAACTCCTCCATTTCCCCCATCTATCTATGAGTTTCCCAAAAAATCCCATTCCTCCTTGACATATTTTAGAGTTCTTCCTCCTTAGAGGTAGAATGGGGAAGACATAAGGAGTGAGGAAAAGAAAAACACTGACAACATGAAAAAAAAAAAAAAAAAAGACCAGATCTTAAAAAGAAAAACTGACCATGAGAAATTTTCATTGGTGACAGAAGCCAAAGGATCTTTAAAATAAAGATGGCTACTCTTCAATGTTAAATTGTTTCCCATGCAGTGTTCTATTCTGAGATCACCCCGCTGTATTAGTCAGCTAGAGCTGCCATAACAGATTACCACAGACTGAGCGACTTAAACAACACAAATCTGGAGGCCAGAAGCCTAAGATCAAGGTGTTGGCAAGGTGAGTTTCTTCTGGGACCTCTCTTTTTGGCCTGGAGATGGCTTTTTCCTGGGTCTCCACATGTTCTTTTTCTGTGTGTGTCCATGTCCTAATCTCCTCTTCTTATAAGGACACATGTCATATTGAATTAGGGCCCATATCAATTATTTCATTTAACTTTAATTACCTCTTTAAAGACACTTTATCTCTAAATGCAGTCTCATTCTGGGGTACTGAAGATTAAAACATCAAACATGAATTTGGGGTTGGGGGAATATACAATTCAACCTCTAGCACCACCACCCACCCACCCACACACACACACACATACACATACTTTATGCCAGACTTTCAGACTTTCAGTAAAAATCTGCAAGATACACTGTCTTGGGTAAAAGAAAATTGGTGGAAAATTAAAGACAAAGTTGTCTTCCATATATGGAGTTAATGACAAAAATAGAAGGGGGAAAAAAATGACCAGGAGGTGAGATGCAAACAGGGAATAAGAATTTAACAGAAGCAGGAAATCAAGAGTAGGAAACCAAAGAGAAATGTGCTAGGAACAGTTTAACCCTACCCCCACCACAGGGATACTAGGATTCCCAACCAGATGTGGATTTGGCCTTGAGTGTATTTTGTTTCATTTGTTGTGAGTATTAAAGGAATGATACATCCTAAATGCTGGACATCTTTGGGTGACATGGTGATAACTGGTATGGCAATTTTTCAGTGAATTACCATTAAATCCCAGCCTATCTAATCACAGGTCATGCAACTCCTTGTGGTAGAAATATAATCCAAATATTCACCTCTTAATTCCCAGCCCAGTTTACCATCCCTCATCATTAAAACAGAACTAGAGAGGATGACAAGGGCTAGAGGTGAAAACAACAGTGGGCCTCTCCTTGGATCCAAGGCAGCACAATGATTCAAAATCAAATGTGCAGCTGGCCAGGAGAGAAATTCAGGTAACTTACAGATGCTATTTGACTCAATCCTGTGTAATGGAATTTCAAGACAGGAATAATATTATTACACCTTCCAGCAATTCACAGCCAATATTTTCAGTTAAAAATCACTGGGTTCTAGCCTTAAATAAGGCTATTGAATAACTTATGCTAATAAATGGCTCTCCTTCACACTTGCAAAATTATCCTAAGCCATTGGGAAAGGTCACTTCTGCTAACAGTTTGCAAAGAAAAGATCTTCCCTTTGGTTCTAATTCTGGGTGAATGGCATGCCTGTGGGGCTGACTGACAGGACCCTGTGCCAGCATGGTGCCATATGCCAGCTGGTCAGTACCGCCGAGGAGCATACGTATGCTGAGTCCTGTATCAGCAGGCTCAGCTGGTCACTGACAAAGCAACCATGCTGAAGACATATTTTGCAATTTGGTCACACTAAAATTTGATTGCGTGTGTGTGTGAGTCCGTGTTTAATGATATGAATCAATACAGTTTATTGGCAATTGTTTTTCAGACTGACAATAAGCAATACAAAGGCTCAAATAAATTGTTTCTCATCTCTTTGGAATCATGTGGAGCAAATAGGTGCAAAAAAGGAAAAGGAAAAACAGTCAAAAAAGAGCACAGGTAAATGAGACATTTTACAGTATATTACGGTGTGAGGCTGGCACTGCATTCTTACTAAAATACACACACACACAAATTGGGGCCTTACAGAGTAAAGAAAATAAATTTAAATTCCAGCTCACCCAATGCAACTTCAAGGCATTCCATTCTTACTGCTCACTCCCAAAAACTACAATCTGGCCAGTAGGACAAGAATTACACAGGCATAAAAATATGAAGCAAAAACAAAGGAAGAGAATGAGTCCCTGAAAACCTTAAAGAAATGAAATATTCTTTAAAAAATATTGGAGGGGGCTGGAAGCAGACACTGGAACAGCAACCAAATCAGTGTTCAGGTATCCAGGAAGCCGTTTGGGGTAGGAGGGAGTAAGACTTACACGGGCAGCCTGACCCCCAGGAGGCCATCCAGCAGTTGCAGGACACAGAAGAGATGGGAAGCCAGAAGCCTGAGTTCCTGGTGAAGATTGAGCAGGAGCTGACAGTAGCAAAGAAACACAAAGTGCAGCCTTCCTGGCACCCAAGGCTCAAGAAGAGGTATGAGAAGCACCTGATGCCAATTGACAGCACATCGCTAACCATCAAGCTCCAGCAGGAGGCCCCGGACAACTCCAACACCAGCCCCAACACAGAAGAGCTCGTAAACATGGGCTATGCTGCCAAACCTGTGAGGACTGCCTGCTACAAGGACATGGGTCAAGTCGAAGAGTTAATGCAGGACGTTGCTGACCAGCAAGAACTTGCAGAGGAGATTTTAACAATTTCAAGACCTGTAGGGTCTGGAAGAGTTTGACAAGAATGAGCTCATAGCGGAATTAGAAGAACTAGTCTCACTTCAAAGCAGTAGGGCTGCATCACTGCTCCCTCTACAGAGTCTGCACGGGGGAGGGGAAAATTGGCCGGGACTGGGGGCAGTAAGCAAAGTAGCAGGTGCCTGCTGTTTATGATGTTGAATTCTATAAAATAAACTGTACTTGCAAATTCAACATTTAGCTTCTGGGCTAGATATAATAACTTCGCTGCTGAATCCTCAGTGGAAAGGGCCACTTGTTTGCAGATGAAGGTGTCTGAAAATGTAATCTCTGTCCTTTTAAGTTCCCACGTTTCTCTGTAAGACTTGTATGGTACTGGAAGAAAAGCCATTTTTTAAAAGTCATAGACCTTTCCTTGCCCTTAGCTGTAATAATGCATCTGATTTTGGTTTCCTAAAGAGCTGTATTTCTCTTCAACCCTGTGTATTACTTCTCTTGCCCACTCCTCATTCCCGCTCCACTGGTCTTTTGGAGTTTGTGATTCTTATTTGAAATTGACGATATTCTCTTGAGAGCAACTAAGATTGTTAGAATTAAATTGCAGCCACAGAGTTTTAAAATACAATTCTAAGGTCCTTGGAGCTGTTTGTAGTAACTGCTAGATAACTTGTTGGAAACATGTGCATATATTTGTATTCAAATGAAATTATAGTTTGCACTATCATCTATTAAATGTCTTGATGAATTCTTTTAAAAAAGGAAAAGGAAAATATTAGAAAACCCCAAATAGCAATTGTATTGTATTGTATTGTATTGTATTGTATTGTATTGTATTGTATTGTATTTATTTTGAGACAGAGTCTTGCTATGTTCCCCAGGCTGGAGTACAGTGGCTCAATCTCGGCTCACTGCAACCTCCACCTCCCAGGTTCAGATGATTCTCCCACCTCAGCCTCCCAAGCAGCTGGGATTACAGACACATGCCACCATGCCTGGCTAATTTTTTTTATTTTTAGTAAAGACAGGGTTTCACCATGTTGGCCAGCCTGGTCTCGAACTCCTTACCTCAAGTGATCTGCCTGCCTCAGCTTCCCAAACTGCTGTGATTACAGGCATGAGCCACCATGGCTGGCCCAAATAGCAATTTTTAAAAACTAAGATGCATAATAGCAAAATGGAGATTCATGTGGCTAGTTAGCATGCTTCCATAAACACAAGGAACTCCAAAGATGATAATCCTGACACCAACATCATCAGTACTAAGGTTCTTCTAGTAATAAGGAATAAATACAAACTCTGGCTAGATTCAGAGAGATATGAGAGGGGAAAGGGGGAGAATGAATTTATTGGAAGGACATGGGAAGGAGTTCGTAAAGCTCCAGGGGTTTAAAGGGTAATTTCCTGTAGAGCATTGATTTTCAACCTTGATTACATAATAGAATCACACAGGTAACTGTAAAGAATAAAAATAAAAAAAAAAGTAATGCACTGGCTCCATTCAGACAAATTACATCAGAATCTCAAAGGGTAGGGCCCTTGAATAAGTATATTTTAAAAGCTTTCCAGCTGATTTTAGTGCATAGCCAGGGATTGAGAACTATTCCTCTGGAATGTTAGAATTAATGCCCCTCAATCTTTATGACTCCCTGGTCCAGTGTTTTTAGCTCAAAATTCCAAAATTCCCAGGAGAGAGATCTAAGTGGCCCAGTTTACATTCATAGGATACCACTGAACAAATTTAGCCACTGCCGAGAAAATAAGGTCATACTGGACCAGACACAGCCGCTGGGAGTCCATGTCTGTGGGTCAGGGCAGGTTGAATTACTGTGAGCTGGGCAGTCACCCAGAAAGTGTCTATTACACCACCCATGGGTGTGACGGGAAGTTTCATGCTTAACCAGTACTCCCTTCTTCTCTGAGAACACACAGATAAAATGACAAGACAGAGTCCAGATTCCAGTAGGGCAGCCCAGGGTGACACCGAAGGGACTGCGGAGACGTTTCATACACCCCAGCCAGTGAATGAATCCTCCTGTGTTCATTCATTCAAACACCAATGTCACCTGGTAAAAGTTCTGGGTTAGAGATAGAAAAGAATGATTTGTAATTATTGTAACAAAGTGTAAGTCTCTGATCTGCTCACCTTGTAAATGTGCAATAGTAGCTTAAGCAATAAAAGAAAAGCTTCTCTTAAGTACATAAATCTTTCCTATACAAGCTAGTTTATGTCAATGGTAACTTAACAGGCCCTCTTTTTCCCTAAGTAGTGCCAAGATAAACTTCAATCTGAATTTAGTTCTAATACAAAGTTGGAATTAAAGAAATTCAACCTAACTTCTTTTTAATGTAATAAATAAACAACTATTCCAGCTGTGGCATAGATATTAAAGGGAAACACATTGCATGTGTCGAATAATAAGATCAGTCATCTGATCTTTGACAAACCTGCGAAAAACAAGAAATGGGGAAAGGATTCCCTATTTAATAAATGGCGCTGGGAAAATTGGCTAGCCATAAGTAGAAAGCTGAAACTGGATCTTTTCCTTACTCCTTATACAAAAATTAATTCAAGATGGATTAGAGACTTAAATGTTAGACCTACTACCATAAAAACCCTAGAAGAAAACCTAGGTAATACCATTCAGGACATAGGCATGGGCAAGGGCTTCATGTCTAAAACACCAAAAGCAATGACAACAAAAGCCAAAATTGACAAATGGGATCTAATTAAACTAAAGAGCTTCTGCACAGCAAAAGAAACTACCATCAGAGTGAACAGGCAACCTACAGAATGGGAGATAATTTTTGCAATCTACCCATCTGACAAAGGGCTAATATCCAGAACCTACAAAGAACTCAAACAAATTTACAAGAAAAAAAACAAAAACCCTTGTCAAAAAGTGGGCAAAGGATATGAACAGGCATTTCTCAAAAGAAGACATGCATACAGCCAACAGACACATGAAAAAATGCTCGTCATCACCGGTCATCAGAGAAATGCAAATCAAAACCACAATGAGATACCATCTCACACCAGTTAGAATGGCAATCATTAAAAAGTCAGGAAACAATAGGTGCTGGAGAGGATGTGGAGAAATAGGAACACTTTTACACTGTTGGTGGTATTGTAAACTAGTTCAACCACTATGGAAAACAGTATGGCGATTCCTCAAGGATCTAGAACTAGAAGTACCATATGACCCAGCCATCCCATTACTGGGTATATACCCAAAGGATTATAAATCATGCTGCTATAAAGACACATGCACACGTATGTTCATTGCGGCACTATTCACAATAGCAAAGACTTGGAATCAACCCAAATGTCCATCAGTGACAGACTGGATTAAGAAAATGTGGCACATATACACCATGGAATACTATGCAGCCATAAAATAGGATGAGTTTGTGTCCTTTGTAGGGACATGGATGCAGCTGGAAACCATTATTCTCAGCAAGCTATCGCAAGAACAGAAAACCAAACACCGCATGTTCTCACTCATAGGTGGGAACTGAACAATGAGATCACTTGGACTCAGGAAAGGGAACATCACACACCGGGGCCTATTATGGGGGGGGGATTGCATTGGGAGTTATACCTGATGTAAATGACGAGTTGATGGGTGCTGACGAGTTGATGGGTGCAGCACACCAACATGGCACAAGTATACATATGTAACAAACCTGCACATTATGCACATGTACCCTAGAACTTAAAGTATAATAATTAAAAAAAGAAAAAAAAAAGAAATTCTACCTAACTTTTTAAATGTAATAAATAAACAACTATTCCAGCTGTGACATAGATATTAAAGGGAAACACATTGCATGTGTAGAATAATTTACAAATCAAAAACAGTATATATACTTCAAAACACAAGCATATGAGAAGTACCTGCAAAGCATGCAGCGCCAGGAGAAATCAAGGTGAGACAGCTGCTGCTTTCAAGACAGCCATCACTTTGAATGGGTGACCAAACCTACACTCAAAGAGACAGTCAAGTATCTCAAGAGAGCATGCAATTCAGAGTCAGAATGAATGATTCATTGGTAAGGGCCACATGAGTACACCAAAATCCATAGTAGCTTTGAATCATGAGTGCAGCCCTGGCCCCAGAGGTCTCTCACAGTAGACCATGGAATGGGCTGGCCAATCTCATGAACAGCCCACTGGAATCCAAAACACACAAGAGCCTAGGGATCATGAAGGAAAAGCTGTGTATTCATACTGCTTTCAGTGTGGTTCGGGAGAAAACAGAGAAAATAACAGAGCCCTGAAGTATCAGGTAAAGCATATAAGGACCGTCACATAATACAGTCATCTTTGTTTGGATTCTTCCATAAGCAGAGCTTGACACAAAGAATTTGAGTGCAAGTAATTTATTTGATAAGTGAAGGAAAACACATGTAGGGGCATGGGGACCTGAGACGGGGAGGAGAAGACAGATAATAAAGGATGTGTCATCAAGTGGGTTATGCCTGTGAGCAATTGGATCTTTTTTTTAATTTTTATTTTTTGTATTATACTTTAAGTTCTAGGGTACATGTGCACAAGGTGGAGGTTTGTTAAATATGTATACATGTGACATGGTGGTGTGCTACACCCATTAACTCGTCATTTACATTAGGCATATCTCCTAATGCTATCCCTCCCCCCCCACCGACCCCATGACAGGCCCCGGTGTGTGATGTTCCCCACCCTGTGTCCAAGTGTTCTCATTGTTCAATTCCTGCCTATGAGTGAGAACATGCAGTGTTTGGTTTTGTGTCCTTGCGATAGTTGAGCAATTGGATCGCAATGCTGCTAGGGAGAAAAACCTGGGTGAAAAACACACAGTCAGAATTATCCCACCCAGGGTGAGGGAGCTAGGGTATGTATACACCAATAGCCATTAGTGATTGGTCGAGGGGTGCTGTAGGGGAAAACAGGAGGGTGTTAATAACCTGGCAATTTGGCCGGGCAGAGTGCCTCATGCCCGTAATCCCAGCACTTTGGGAGGCCAAGGTGGGCGGATCACGAGGTCAAGAGATCAAGACCATCCTGGCCAACATGGTAAAACCCCGTCTCTACTAAAAATACAAAAATTAGCTGGGCGTGGTGGTGCACGCCTGTAGTCCCAGCTACTCGGGAAGCTGAGGCAAAAGAATTGCTTGAACTGAGAGGTGGAGGTTGCAGTGAGCCGAGATCACGCCACTGCACTCCAGCCTGGTGACAAAGTGAGACTCCGTTTCAAAAAATAATAATAATAATAACCTGGCAATTTAGGTCTGCTGAGCATGTAGGTAGATTGGCTCCAGCAGCCAGGAAAAGCCTTCAGTGAATGGGATGTGAGATTGGCAGTTGACTTCAGCTGGTCTACGATGAAATGATGAGACTTGAATGGACAGGGTGAGCTCTAACAGCATTTGCTATGATTTCCCACAGTGGAAAGAACACCAGATTTGACATGAAGATACCTATGCATGAGGCCAAGACCACTAACACATACTCCTGTGGATGGTGAGAGAAGTAGAGGCAGACGATATATCCTTTACAAAACATAAAGTATAATATGCACACTAACTGTAATTATTAACTAAAAATTTTCAAAACTGAAGGATTATAGCTAGTATGTAGAAAAGGCAGTAGTCCTTAAAGTCACAGTCCTGTGTTCAAGTCCCAGTTCCACCCCTTCTTAACTGTAGGGCTTTGTTTCAGTAACTTCAATTCTCCTTACTTATCAAATGAGGGCAATTAATAATACCTACTTCATAGTTCTGTTGGGATTAAAAGCACATAAACATGCAAACCATCTAGGACAATAGCTAGCAAATGGTAAGTATCTACTTCATCACCCTTCTTATCATCGTTAAGTAGAAATGTTTGAATGTTACACATAAAGTGAATCGTAATGCAGTAAATTCTATCACAGTTAATTTCTATTGATCTATGTTAAAAGCTAGTGTACACAATAACAATAAGTGGATGGATGGATGGATGATTGTAAGGCTGGAAGTAGATACTGTAGAGTGAGTGGTTAAAACTAAAATACTCATTTTATGTTATTCTGCTTTCAGATCATCTAAAAGCAAATGTTCAATATTTTCTACATCGTCTTAGATGCTGGCTGGTAAGGGCTTAAATTACACTAGCAAACAAATACAACCAGGAGAGTACGGTGTCTGTGAAACTAAAACCAATTCCCATTATGGAAAACCATTTTTTATATGTCTGCTTCCCTGCTTTAGTAAACAGAACACAGAGAACATAATTGAATATTTGATGATTGAAAATCTTGCAGTGTCTGTGACTTCTCATGCTGAACATCAGTTCTCATCACACAGGCCTGTAGGTGTACTTGTGGGATGGCAACGGATTACACAGAATCTTTAATGGCCTTGAGAAGTACTCATAAGGCTTCTTTTTCTTCATCTTTATCCTTTAAGAAATAAATAAATATTGATATCAGTTGGGTAAGGTTTTTGTTTGTAGATTTTTTTCCATCTGATTAAGTTTAGGGAAATTTTGTTTACTGCTCTCTGAATAAGATGAGCTCTCTCTGCCTCTCTGCACACTGAGTCGGGGAAGTTGAGGGTTGAGGGGGTCCTTTATCACCTTCCTGAGCACTGGGGGACTAGATACTTTCCTCTATTGGTCTAGACCTAGAGAGAAGGTTAGTAAGCCCAGCTTCCCGTCCTGCAGTAGAGCCTCTGGGCATTAATCTAGGGGACTATTCTGAGTTTTTAGCAAAGAGTTGTTCATAAAGAGCCATGCCCACCACCCACCACCCATCTCAGCTCTCTCTGGTCTGGCCTCTCTTCCTGTTCTCAGCTCTGCCTATAAGGGCCTTTCCTAAAGTAATGAGACATCCCAGAATGCACCTCCTCATGATCCATCCTCTCTTCTTTTTTTTTTTTTTTTTTTTTTTTTTGTTGTTGTTTTCCTGAGATGGAGTCTTGCTCTGTTGCCCAGGCTGGAACACAGTGGCGCAATCTCAGCTCACTGCAACCTCCACCTCCTGGGTTCACGCCATTCTCCTGCCTCAGCCTCCTGACTAGCTGGGACTACAGGCACCCATCACCAGGCTTGGCTAATTTTTGTACTTTTAGTAGAGATGGGGTTTCACCATATTGGCCAGGCTGGTCTCGAACTCCTGACCTTGTGATCCACCCGCCTTGGCCTCCCAGAGTGCTGGGATTACAAGCGTGAACCACTGCACCCAGCCCCGTCCTCTCCCTTATTATGCCAGCCACATTGAATCCTGGACGTTATACTCTGGACATGGGCCTCTCAATGGATGTCAGAGGGAAAAAGTCATGGGGGGCGGACGGGAGACCTAGGGAACATAATATAAATATGCTGGTTCAGCAGATAATTGTCTTGCAAATAAAAGGCAGTTACCTGATTCATTGACTGGAGAGGACTCAGAGTCCCACGTTTAAATGTGAACATTGACCTCAGTCACCGTTTTCTTGCGCCGTAATATTCTGGGTCAGTGAGTGGAGGATATAAAGCCATAGAGTGCTTTTCAAAATCTAACCCCAACCATGTTTCAGTAAAAATGCAGTCTACTTAGATTCAACTCTGTTTCCTCCTTGGTTTATAGCTTTTGTGCTAGCATTTTTGTGGTCATTTGTGGCTATTTTCATAGGAAGTTTCGAGGAGCGTTATCAGGCATTGCTTTTTAATTACCATACCAACCCAGAAATACCAGAATGAGAAGACTGAAATTCCAGTTACCATAAAAACTGCACATAAAAGTCATCTAACCATTACTTGCAGATATCAAGAATGCGGTAAAATAGTGCTGGATTATGGGCACTAAAGCTCATGCCCTTGGCTCCCGAGAAAGCCCTCAGTGCAGAAACTAACAGTTGACTAATTCAATAGCTGTGCTCTTTTCCTCCTCAAACAGCTCAGTGTGTAGTTGGGTACGTTATGGTCCAAAATAAAAGATCCATTTTTCAGCATCCCCTGCTCCTGAGTGACCATGTGACTAAATCCTGGCCACTAAATTCTAGAAATGTTGTATAGGACTTTCAGGAAGTTTCCCTAAGAGGGAGGAAGTACACTTTTCTTCTTTCATAATCCCATTCTGCTGCCTGGAATGCAGATGTGGTGGCTGGAGGAAAAGATGTGGTGGCTGAAGGAAAAGCTGACCCAGAAGCATCTTAAAACATGAAGATGAAAGTTGCACACCAGAGATAACAAAGAAGACAGCTGGAAGGAGCCTGGGTCACTAATACATTTCTTGAGCCCCTATTCCAATCTTATATTTCTGATTAACAAACCACCTAAAATGCACTGGCATAAAACAATAGCAATAATTTACTATAATTCTCTTTCATGATTCCAAGTGTTGTCTAGGGAGCTCTTGCTCAGTGCTTCTCATATGGGGCTGGAGTCATTTGAAGACTTCCTCACTCACATATGCAGAGGTTAATGCTTATTATATGGCTGGGATCTCAACTGCTGCTCTAACTCAGAACACTTGGCTTCCCAATGTGGCCTGGACTTCGTCAGATGCCTTACAACATCTGCTTGTTTCTGATCTCGGAATCTAGCTGCCACATAAAGCCCTTTGTGATCTGCTCTCCAAAGACGGGTTCAAGGATGAGGTCTCACACTCACTTCTGGGAAAAGGGAGGACAGAGAATGGCAAGATCATAGTTCAGGAAAAGCAGAAGATCTTGTTACAGCCATTTAAAAAATATAAAATCTGATCGGGCACGATGGCTCACGCCTATAATCCGAGCACTTTGGGAGGCCAAAGTGGGCGGATCACCTGAGGTCAGGTGTTCAAGACCAGCCCAGTCAATATGGTGAAACCCTGTCTCTACTAAAAATACAAAAATTAGCCAGGCATGGTGGCGTGCCTGTAATCCCAGCTACTCGGGAGGCTGAGGCAGGAGAATTGCTTGAATCTGGGAGGCAGAGTTTGCAGTGAGCTGAGAACGTGCGATTACACTCCAGCCTGGGCAATAGAGTGAGACTCAGTCAAAAAACAAATAAACAAACAGACAAAAAAGGCTGGGAACAGTGACTTATGCCTGTAATCCCAGCACTTTGGGAGGCCAAGGTGTGCACATCACAAGATCCGGGAGTTCGACACCAGCCTGGCCAACATAGTGAAACCCCATCTCTACTGAAAGTAAAAAAATTAGCTGAGCGTGGTGGCGTACACCTATAATCCCAGCTACTCAAGAGGCTGAGGCAAGAGAATCACTTGAACCCGGGAGGCGGAGGTTGTAGTGAGCTGAGATTGTGCCACTGCACTCCAGCCTGGGCGACAGAGCAAGACTCTGTCTCAAAAAAAAAAACAAAAACCTAAAATCTGCCAACACCCCATGCCAGCCCTAAATGCCTTACTTCCACATGTATTTTATGTGAGAAGCAAACATCTGTCTTGTTTAAGTGGGTGTTAGTATGGGTTTTTCTCTGATGTGCAGGCCAGCCTGATCCTGACTGACAGAGCTCCCGAGGCCATCACTCATACTTGATCTGCATACACTTTACACACGACCCTAACCGGCTTGTTCCATCTGGAGGCTCCTCCCAAAGAAGATAATTGACAACAGAAGAGAAAGGGTGGGCAGGGAACATTGTTAGAATCAAGTCAGGCACACTCATAGCAACACCAACGGAAAAAAGAAATGGAAAAGTTATATACAGTCACCCACCTTTCAGGAGGCATAGCTATCTATATGTGGCCATTTCCTAAAAAGACAAGCAGCAGAATTATGTGAGTTAAAAAATCCTAGAGATTATAACTAAATACAGTAGAATTCAAGAATTAACAAGGCCCTTATAATATTAAAAAGGAACTGAGTTGGCCAGGCGCGGTGGCTCAAGCCTGTAATCCCAGCACTTTGGGAGGCCGAGACGGGCGGATCACGAGGTCAGGAGATCGAAACCATCCTGGCTAACACGGTGAAACCCCGTCTCTATTAAGAAATACAAAAAACTAGCCGGGCGAGGTGGCGGGCGCCTGTAGTCCCAGCTACTCGGGAGGCTGAGGCCGGAGAATGGCGTGAACCCGGGAGGCGGAGCTTGCAGTGAGCTGAGATCCGGCCACTGCACTCCAGCCTGGGCGACAGAGCGAGACTCCGTCTCAAAAAAAAAAAAAAGGAACTGAGTTTACTCGTGGCAGCCTGATTAAAGATGATTTTTGTACATATTATTACTGAGGACAATCTCTGAGAAAAGATTTCCTTGTAGGTTTTTGAGACATGATTTCATATTCTTATACTTTTTTCCTTAAAAGAATCTCTGAAAGATAATTTGCTAATGCCCAATTCCGTTTTTGAATTAGGCGAACAAATAAAAAAGACACAAAAGCAATCTTAATTCAGTCAGAGATGTTCAAATTAAGCTCAATCTGCACATTAATTTTGTGCCTGGAGGAGCTACTGCATAGCTGTCCCACGATGCCCTGGGGAGCACAGCAGCACCATTTTTCTGTGAAGAACCCTAGATCCCAGGGAGATATTCAAGAACAGAGCAGGGACTGTCCGTAGGAAAGCCCATGGTCTGCAGAACGCCCATCTCCACTTTCTCACTGAGAAACTAGAGTTAACGTTGTTTCTTCTATCATTTGTTATTTTGTTTTGTTTGGGGTCACAATATGCTTTTTGCTTCTTAGGGTTCTAAAATGCCTTGAGATCAACCAATACTAAGTTCAGTTTAGAAACTCAAAAGAAGAAAGAGTACTTCCGTGAACATTTTTCTCCTTATTCCATCAACCCCAAAGAAAAAGAAACAAATGATTTAAGACATACATCTATTTCCTCACTAGCAGTGTCAAAAAAAAAAAAAAAAAGAACTTAACCCCTAAAATCATGTAAGTCCTTCCCTTCTTGATTCTATTTGGCCTTACTAAAATTAAATCTCCATAGACATGTCAATCTCTCATTTCCAGTAAACTTCAGAGTTTTCTATCCTTTATTATACTCAGAAATGGGGTTCATAGTTACCAAAAAAAATGACTCATTTTTTCATTATGGTCCACCACACACTGTTCACATCCAAGCCACAAGGAACTGGTGGTACAGACCCACACCACTCCATCCCCTGACTTTGCTCTATTTTCACCACCAGAAATGCACATGCCCTGTTTCCAACTGTCTATTTTACACTGCAAGGCCCACATCAAATGTCTTCTTCTCTGTGAAGCCTTTCCTCGCCTTCTATATTAGAATTAACCTCTTCCTCCACTTTCAACAAATAAATACTTGAGTGACTACTGAATGCTGGGCACTATTTTAGGGTAAAGGGAAACCACAGAGAGAAAACATGGCAACATGCCACCCTTCTACTGGAAGAGATAAACATTAATCAAATAATCAAAGAAAACATGTAAAATTGTGATATATGCCATAAATGGGTGGCCTTGGCGCTCTATGATAAAGGAGATGTGATCAGTTATATGTTAAATCAGAAACTGTAAAGGACCTGAAATTTTATCC